TCTCTCCACTGCCCGCAATGCAAGGGGGCAGTCCTCCACTGATCACACAGGGCGAGGGCGGGCATTTCTCCACCGACTACTAATATAAGGAGACACTTTTCTGCTGACAGCGGGTGTAAGCGGACACTACAATTTTCGCTGTCTGTGTTTTATGTTCTATTATTATTATTGACAGACGGTGTGATAACACAATTGTCTCTGGGGGTGACACATTCCCGATATTCCGTATTCTTGTACAGCTCGCTGATCATACTATTTCCGGTGATTTGTAGATCTAATCATTTTCAGCCGGGGGTTCCCGGGAGCTCAGGACTATTGGAAGGGTCCCCCGAGGGTGAGGAGGCTGAGGAAGGCTGGAGCGGCGGTATTTCTAGTTTTCAGATGATAATTGTATCTTTTACCTGAACGTTATTTTTGATTGCGTTGTATTTTATTTGCATTGTCCACATTTGTCAATGTTCCGTCCAATGATAAGCTGAACACCAGGGAACGTGACTGGCATCTTGCAGAAAGGTAACCTGTGGATGCATTTAAAGCGTAACTATGGGCAAAATGCGTTCTGTCAGCATTAACATGGCAGTTAGAAGAGTCGTGTGTGTCACCCCCCCCCACCCCCACCCCTTGTAATGTTGTTTTACTGTCAGTACATCCGTCATTGTTGCACTTCCTGTAACAGGCCAATCTGTCTAACAAAAGTGACAGAGGTTGGGACAAACCATATAATAGGGTGGGGGGGTTGCTTACATTGATCAACTTTTATTCATATGGTTTAAACCTTGTTTTCAAAACAATATGGAACCTGTGGTAGCTGGTGTTTGGCTTTTATTTGTTTGTCTTTTACTAAAAGTCCATTTAAAACTTCATATGTATGTAAGACTACCCTCTCCCCAGGGTGCTACCCTCTCCCCAGGGTGCTACCCTCTCCACAGGGTGCTGCCCTCTCCCCAGGGTGCTGCCCTCTCCCCAGGGTGCTACCCTCTCCCCAGGGTGCTACCCTCTCCACAGGGTGCTACCCTCTCCCCAGGGTGCTACCCTCTCCACAGGGTGCTACCCTCTCCCCAGGGTGACAACAAAAGGGTGCTGCCCCCTCCGTGGATCCAGCAGTATGTCACCTTCCCAATCGGCGATGTACTTGTCTTTAAAAGAGAACTATGGGGTAAGCTTTTTATCCCATAGGTCTCTTAAGGGTCACCGGTGGACATATACTAGCGTCCTCCAGTGACCCAAAGCTCAATATATAGCGGGCTATTGCTCACTATATACTTGGAGCGCCGCAGCCGGGGCGTATCCCGACAAGGCTGCCGAGATCCACTCAGCTGCGTGAGTGACAGCTGGCTCTGCCTATCTAGGGGCAGACCCAGCTGTGCCCGCCCCCTCCCCCGTCCGTTCCGCCAGTCAGCGTTGGAGGATCGGAGAGG